ATCCTTCTCTCTGTCAAATAAATAAATAAATAATCTTTTAAATAAATACATAAAAATAAAAAAATAAGCTTTATTGGGGTGCCTGAGTGGCTCAGTCGTTATGCCTCTGACTCTTGGTTTTGGCTCAGGTCCTGATCTCAGGGTCTTGGGATCAAGCCCCATGTTGGGCTCTGTGTTCAGTGGGGAGCCTGCTTCTCTGCCTCTCTCTCCCTCTGGCCCCCCAACCCCATGCACTCACACTCTTTCTCTAAAATAAAATCTTAAAAACAAAAATAACAGCTTTATTGAGATATGGTTCATATACTATACAAATCATCCATTTAAAGTGTACAGATCAATGATTTTCTAAATTGTTCTCACTCTGACTACCTCGAAAAGAAACTCTGCACTCATTAGCAGTCACTCCTTACCCCCCACCCTGCAGCCCCTGGGAACCAGGCCTCTTCCTTCTGTCTCCATGAATTTGCCTGCTCTGGAAACTTCATATAAATGGGATCATATTGGGGCACCTGCGTGGCTAATTCGGCTAAGGATCTGCCTTCAGCTCAGGTCGTGATCTCAGGGTCCTGGGATTGAGTCGTGCATCAGGCTCCCTGCTCCATGGGGAGCCTGCTTCTCCCTGTCTCTCTGCCTGCTGCTCCCTCTGCTTGTGCTGTCAAATAAATAAATAAAATCTTTAAAAAAAAAAATGGAATCATACAGTCCACCGGTGGCGTTTTGTGACCGGGTTCTTTCACTCGTGTGCTGCCGCGTTCATCCCCATGAACCAGTGTGGCACGAGTCAGTACTTATGTACCGTTCAATGACAAGAATACAGTATTCGGAAGAAGAGCCCATTGTACGGACCGCTACGTTTGGTTTATCTGCACCTCTGTCAATGGACATGTGGTTTGCTCCCACCTTTTGGCTTTTGTGAATAATGCTATGAAAATGTGTGTGTGCATTTTTTAAAAGATCTTATTTATCTGACAGAGAGAGATCACAAGTAGGCAGAGAAAGGGGGAAGCAGGCTCTCCGCTGAGCAGAGAGCCCGATTCGGGGCTCGATCCCAGGACCCCGAGATCATAACCCGAGCCAAAGGCAGAGGCTTAACCCACTGAGCCACCCAGACGCCCCTGTGTGTGCATTTTTGCGGGCGTTTTCATCTGTCCTGGACAGACGCCTAGCAGTGGAGTTGCTGGACCCAATGGTAAGTCTCTGTTTCATTTTTGGAGGAACTGCCAGACTGTTTTCTAGAACAGTTCCGCTCCACACTCCCAGCAGCCGGGTGGTAAGTCCCAATTCCTCCACGTCCTCACCAACACTTCTTAGTCTCTCTCCCTCTACTTCTGTTTGTGTTTAGAATATTCCAGAATAACACTTAGGAAAAAAAAAAGAGAGAGAGAGAAGAAATTAGAAATGGAGAGTTTATAAACCAAAATGTTTTGGCCAGTCTTGGCTTACCTGTCACATGCCAGACGCTGTCCTATGTATTAGGGATAGACAGCGAACAAAACAGAGAGATGTCTGATATTTGAACTCAGGACTGGTCGGATCAGCTCTTCCTCACCCGCCATCTTGGGAGGCAGAGCCCAGCCTGGAATTTCCATCCCTGCCCTTGGTCCCCAGCCTGGGAGGGGCAGGGGGGATGACTGAGGGGAAGGTGGCGTGCTCTCACCCTCCGAAGGGCCTCCCTCAGCCCCGGAGGCCCCGGGTGCCACCCTCTACAGGTGGGACAGGGTGGTCGAGCATGGAGGAAGGGGCCACCTGGCACCAAGATGAGACAAAACCAAGATGGTGGAACCGCCTTAGCAGTTCCTGGTGGGACAGACACGCCTCAGGAAGTGGGCACAGGCCCTGCTATCACGATGAGGCTGCCTATGGGCTGCCGCCTCCAGAGTCTCCGTCTGATCCCGGTCTGCATCCAGGTCACACGGTCACCCATGGTCACCCCCCAGCTCTCTCGTCACTCAGCCTGTGTGCAGGTCCCTTCCTCAGGCCATGTCCAGGCTCTCAAGCCTGGTGAGGCACCTGGTCCCTTGTCCCCTCTCTGTTGCGATCAGGCCAGCTTTCTGTCAGCAGTCAGCCCCTTCCAGAAGCTTCCCCAGACCCTGCCCGTCCTTGCTGTGCTCGTACCTCAGCCGGACCCTCGTGGCCTCCACGTGAGCTGCCGTGGCTCGGTCGGCCTTCTGCAAGGCTGTTTCATCCGCGGGGCCCACGGGCCCGGCCTGGCCTAGCGCTCCGTGGCTGTTGGCGAATGTATATGCCTGAGAGGAATCACTAGAGACCGAGAAGGCTGACGGACGGGGAGGCAGCAGGAGTGGGGAACCTTCCCAGAGGACAGGAGGCTCAGGCTGGGCCTCGGTGGCAGCCCAGAACGGTGTGTGGTAAAAGCGAGCCTGGGTGAGGGAGGCTCGGAGGACAGGTGGGGAAGGTCCCCAGAAGCGGAGCGTCCTTGCAAGGGGAAGCTGTGTCACAGCACCTGCTGGACACCGGGCATGGGGAAGCCGGCTACCTAGCGAGGCCAGGAAGCTCTTCCAGGCGTCACCATTTCTCATTTACAAACGAGGTCAGTGGTGTGAGGAGTCCAGTGACTTACTTCAGGTCACTTTGAACGCCCAGAGACTGCTTTCCCTTGTTTTTCTTTTTTTTACCTTTTTTTTTTTTATTTGACAGAGATCACAAGCAGGCAGAGAGGCAGGCAGAGAGAGGAGGAAGCAGGCTCCCTGCTAAGCAGAGAGCCCAATGCTGGGCTCCATCCCAGGACCCTGAGATCATGACCTGAGCCGAAGGCAGGGGCTTAACCCACTGAGCCACCCAGGTGGCTCCTTCCCTCATTTTTTAAAGCTTATTTTCTTTCGTAATCTCTATACCCAACATGGGGCTTCAACTCCTGATTCTGAGAGCCAGTCACTTGCTCTTCCTACTGAGCCAGCCAAGCGCCCCTCATGCTTGTTTTCATTTGCTATTTAAGTAAAACCATTAAAACCCACCCATTCTGGCGCGCCTGGGCGGCTCAGTCTGTCAAGCGTCTGCCTTCCGCTCAGGTCATGGTCCCTGACCATGGGAGCCTGCTTCTCCCTCCACCTCTACCCCTTCCCCACTTGTGTGTGCTCCCTAATAAATATTTAACTTTCTAAGATTTTTATTTGTAGGAGAGAGCATAAGCAGGGGGAGTAGCAGGCAGAGAGAGAAGCAGGTTCCCTGCTGAGCAAGATGTGGGGCTCCAAGGACCCTGAGATTTGAGAGGGAGCAAGCTGGGGTGGCAGGCAGAATCGGGAAAGGGGACAATCTCAGGCAGACTTCCCTGAGCCCAATGCGGAAAGGGAGGGGGCAGTTACAACCTGACCCGAGATCATGACCTAAACCCAATCAAGATTCAGCCCCTCAACAACAGAGCCACCCAGGTGCCCCTGAACTGATTTTTGAAAACTTAACTTTTTTGTTGTTTTTTTTTAAGATTTTATTTGACAGAGATCACAAGCAGCACAGAGGCAGTCGGATAGAGAGGGGGAAGCAGGCTCCCTGCCAAGCAGAGAGCCCGATGCGGGGCTTCATCCCAGCAGCCAGGGATCACGACCCGAGCCGAAAGCAGAGGCCCCAACCTACTGAGCCATCAAGATTTAACAACCGTTTGATGTTGAGCTAAATTCAGTTGGGTTTTGCGTATTGATCTCCTATCTTAGGACCTCGTTCATGTCTTGCCTCTTACTGGATTTTCGTTGCTTCCTTGCTGGTTGCCTCCAACTGGAAGCGGTGACCTGCCCTCCCCTCTTCCAGTCTGCCCTCCTCCACGGGATGGGATATTCTGGAAGGTGTGAAGCAACCCTGGGTTTTGAGGCCCCCCCCCCCCGTGTCCTTTTGTCAGGAGCTCCTCACCCAGCGTGCTGAGCATCCATCTTCTTGGTGGTCCCAGCTCCAAACGGGGTCACCAGGGGATGCTTCCAGATACACGGTTCGCCTCAAGTGCTCAGCAACTCCACGGGGAATCACTGAGGTCCTCTGTGGATCCCCTCTCGTGTCCCAACAACCTCCAGTATTCTCACTGGACCCAGGAAACACAGAAGAAAACTCCCCCCCGCCGCCCCGCCCTTCCTGGCATTCCTTTTAGTGCAAAAACCTCACACTTCCTCCCAGCTGGTCCTCTCTTTCCTGGAGCAGCGAACACCAGAGAGCCGGTTTGGGAGGTAAATTTGGAACCCAGCACAGATCCCTCAACGTCAGCGACTGCTGAGAGAATTTTGAGGATCAGATGGGATTACCACTCACCAGGGACTCAGTGGCTCTAGGGAGCCAGGGGCCCAACCTGCCCCAGGACACACAACTCGGGAGTTCTCTCCTGGCCCAGCGACCTAAGCTAGTCATGGTCATGGTTTATATGTGACCTTAGCCTCCAAATCCTGCATGGACCTGCTACCACCCATTTTCCAGAAACAATTTTTGGATTGGCCACTGCTGCCCCAGCTCCCATAGGGAAAGCCTCCCCACTCAGCTGGTTTGTTGAGACTGGAGCTCCCCTTCTCCCTGTGGCGCTCACAGGGGTCAGCAACCACTCCCCGAGCGTCTTGCCTGAGGCTCAATAAAGAGCCCAACTAAGAGGCTTTCGGGCGGGATGGCCTAAGCAGATTTGAAGAACTCAGATACCTGTACGGCTGAGGTATTAAGGAGCTATATTTAGGACATAAAGGTTTTACAAATACAAAAAAGCAGTTTGGACATGAAAATCCTGAGAAAGGAACGGTCTGTGAGGTAATGGGACGCAGCACAGGGAGAATGCCATGTTGGGTCATGCTCCCATCCTCTTCCATGGGCTCTAGAATGTGCACCCCCCACCCCCAGGGCCCCCACATCAGTGTGCATGGGCAGGGTGGTGACTTCAGGCCCTCATGCTAACCACCTCCCTTAGTCTCCTCATAAGCAACATGTGTTTTAACTCGGGTTCTTCTATATCTGGGGTGCCTGCTCCCCCACAACTCCCACATTCCCCCCCAGACAAAACACTTTCACAAAACTTTTTTTAATTTGTATTTGTTACAACCTTTTAATGTAGAATGTGACTTGAGCACTACATTTCCACTCACGGAACTTGTGGAGTCACTTCTCCAACAGCTTTACAACATGCCTAAGTAGGCCGAGAATGTCGCTACTCTAAACAACGCTCCTCTTTGGAAAACAAGCCCTATACACGGTTACTCCCATCCGGTTGGTTAAACTACTAGTTTCTAGAGGCCTGGTACATGCAGCTGGTAACTACAGGGAACAGAAGATTTAAAAAGTAGATCCTAGAGGGTGAGAGCTGTTTTAACCAAAATTTCTCTTTAAAACATCAAGGTATAGCTCGGAACACTTCAGTGACGGACAAATATGGTCTTGCTAAGGAATCCACTTGGTAGCTAAACACTGTAGACCACAGTTAACGTTAGGTTACGCACGCCTCACAACAAAGGTCACCTTGTCCGGTTACAATGAGCCGGCGTGGCACTAGGGAAGAAAAACTAGCTGGGCTTTAGTTCCTACGTCACAGCATCACACTCCAACTCAAACAGAAAGAAATCTTATCTTCCCCTTAAGTAGTTACTGTCATGCCATACAGATTCTTAAAATGTTAACAAAAATAAAGAAAAACATCCTTGAAAATATATCATCAGAGGGAATGAAGATGAAGTATCGAACGCACGTACAAGTCATTCTCACGGCACCTAGTCAACCTCCTCCATGCGCGACGTGTCATCATCGCCTTCCAGGGGCGGCATCTCCTCGCTCACAGCCGCGCTGCTGTCGTCAGCAGTGGGGTCGTCTTCATCAATACCTGTTGGAGAGAAACCCCTCCTGCTGTCAGGTTTCTTGAAGCCAGCTGATCCCCAGCGCACGACGCTGGTCTGCACTCACTGTAAAGGCTGAACCATTAGTCGGTGCTGAAAGCGCTTTCATTTTTCAGCCCTTCTCATCAGAAGGTCTGTTTTGTTGTTGTTGTTGTTGTTTTTTAAAGATTTTATTTATTTGACAGACACAGATCACAAGCAGGCAGAGAGGCAGAGAGAGAGGAGGAAGCAGGCTCTCTGCTGAACAGGGAGCCCGATGCGGGGCTCGATCCCAGGACTCTGGGATCATGACCTGAGTGGAAGGCAGAGGCTTTAACCCACTGAGCCATGCAGGCGCCCCTCTGTTCTCTCTTTGAAAGAGGAGCCTTTAATTTAAGGTCACCCAAGCCAGAGGGGCCACCCCTAATGTTGATGGGGCTGAAGGTCCCACCCGGCCCACGGCGCCGTGGGAAGCTTACCGAGACCAAGCTTGATCATCCTGTAGATCCTGTTGGCATGCGTCTGCGGATCTTCCAGACTGAAGCCGGAGGACAGGAGCGCCGTCTCGTAAAGCAGGATGACCAGGTCTTTCACAGACTTGTCGTTCTTGTCGGCCTCGGCCTTCTGCCGTAAGGTCTCGATGATGGAGTGGTCGGGGTTGATCTCCAGGTGTTTCTTCGCGGCCATGTAGCCCATGGTGGAGTTATCTCTCAAGGCCTGGGCCTTCATGATCCTCTCCATGTTTGCCGTCCAGCCGTATGTGCTTGTCACGATGCAGCACGGGGAGGTCACCAGTCGGTTTGACACGACCACCTGCAAGCAGAGCATGAAGAAGGCAAGGAGCGCGTGGAGGAGGCGCCGCTGCGCTAACTTTTCGGTAGCACCACCAGCTGGATGGTAACACGAAGCCTTGGACTTCCAAGGACTGAGCAGTCACGAGTCACCGGCAAATTCAACTATTCAGAACTTTCTTCCTGCACACCCTACCTCTCCCCGGTCTTCAGCGACCTTAGGAGTTTTCTCTATGTAGGAAATGCTAATTTTCTATTCGTGAAGTGCAGAAAACACAAGGGGAGGAAGGGCCTACGGAGGACAAACTTGGCCCAACCCCTCCAGGCCCTCTATAAGGCAGCCCGTGACCAGGAGACCGAGGCAGCCCAGGGCACTGCTCTCACAAACCTTTTCAACTTTTTTCTCTAAGATGTCCTTCATGATCTTGCACAGGTTTTCAAATTTTGTCTTTTTCTCTTCCTGTTTCTTTTTCTCTTCTTCATCTTCTGGAAGTTCCAAGCCCTCTTTGGTCACAGACACCAACGTCTTCCCCTCAAACTCCTTCAGCTGCTGGACACAGTACTCGTCAATGGGCTCGATCATATAGATCACTTCCAGGCCGTGCTTCCGAAGACGCTCCACAAAGGCCGAGTTCGCTACCTGGTCCTTGGTCTCACCTAAAGGGTTGGGAGACGTTACACACCTTTAACAGGCAAGGACTTCATCTTGCTTTTGCCTTTTGCTAAGTCTAGTCAGATCTAACCACAGATACGGCCCAGCCCACGTGGTCTTGCCTGGCTTCGTCCCTGGGAGCTGACCTGCAGAGCCCGGTGCAGAACGCACACTCAGGAGCTCCAGATTTGCGAGACTGCGACTGTGCACCCTCTGTCCTTACCTGTGATGTAATAGATGTGTTTCTGGTTCTCCTTCATTCTGGTGCAGTAGTCCTTGAGAGACACCATCTCGTCACCAGAGGCGGACGTGTAATAGCGCAACAGCTCCGAGAGCTTCTTCCGATTCTGAGAGTCCTCGTGGATGCCAAGCTGAAAGAGAACGTGGGCTCTGAACTTTCTTTTTTATAAAAAGTCATGAAATTTGACAAACCATAATGACCACTACTACTGAGGATCAAATGTGTTCACACCAACCTTGATGTTTTTGGAGAACTGCTCATAAAACTTTTTGTAGTTCTCTTTGTCTTCGGCCAGTTCGGTGAAGAGTTCTAAGCACTTTTTGACCAAATTCTTTCTGATAACCTTTAAAATTTTGCTTTGCTGCAGCATCTCACGGGAAATATTTAGAGGAAGATCCTCAGAGTCCACCACACCTCTGATGAAATCTGAAAAAATACGAACAAATGCACTCAAAGTCATCCCCAAAGATGCAATCCACAAACAGGTAAACCCAAGGAACCAAAGATCATCTCCTGCCCCACGTGGGTTCTTTTTATTTTTTAAGAGAGATTTTATTTGACAGAAAAGAGAGATCACAAGTAGGCAGAGAGGCAGGCAGAGAAAGGGAGGGAAGCAGGCTCCCCGCTGAGCAGAGAGCTCGACAAGGGGCTCAATCTGAAGACTCTGGGATCACGACCTGAGCCGAAAGCAGAGGCTCAACCCACTGAGCCGCGCAGGTGCCCCCCACATGCATTCTCGAATCCACTGTGCGGAGCAGACTAAGTGAATCCACTGTGCGGAGCAGACTAAGCACTGGCTGGGCTTGAGCCCCACCACCCACACTTACTCAGATACTCCGGGATGAGCTCCTCACAGTTATCCATGATGAAAACTCTGCGAACATACAACTTAATGTTGTTCTTTTTCTTTCTGTTCTCGAATAGGTCAAAGGGAGCACGTCTTGGCACAAAGAGAAGAGCTCGGAACTCCAACTGTCCTTCCACTGAAAAATGCTGTTTAAAAAAGCACACAGCGAACGATCATCAAGGGACAACGCAAGCACGAGCCACTGAAGACGCCCTCCGCTTACAGTCACAGAACCAAGAGCGCTCTTGGGAGAGCACAAGGGCTGGGAAAGCACAAGGGCTGGGAGAGAGCCCTGGGCAGCAACCCACACCCCGACCACGTCAGACAACCTGCACGGACTCGGGACCACTCACCTTCACTGCCAAGTGATCCTCCCAGTCATTGGTCAAACTCTTGTAGAATTCTCCATACTCTTCATTGGTAATATCGTCGGGGTTTCGGGTCCAAATAGGCTTTGTTTTGTTCAATTCTTCCTGATCAATGTACTTCTCCTTGATCTTCTTTTTCTTCTTCTTGTCACCGTCCTTCTTCTCCTCCTCTTCCTCATCAGAACCAACATCTTCTATCTCAGGTTTATCATCAGACTCCTTCTCTTCCTTTTCTTTTTCCTCCTCTTTCTCTTCCTTTTCTTCAGCCTCATCATCACTCACCTCTTTATCACGTTCCTTCTCCACCTTCAAAGTAAGATGCAAAACCACGTCACCTCTGCATTCTGGAACTAAAGAACGCTCTGGACTAGGTACAGTTAACACCCAAGTGTAAGACTCGAAGAAAGAAACGTTTGTCAGCCAAAACTCTCTGGTCGGTATTTCATGTTATCTACCTAAGCAACCAGCCTGGGTAACGTGGACAGGGAGACAGAACTTCACAAAGTCCCGCCAATGCAAGTTTGGCTCTTTCCCTCACCAACAGACCCAAACACTAAGAACTTCCGGTCACCAGCCCTGCGGTCTACACCCGGCGCGGACACTCACGAACAGAGTGATGGGGTAGCCGATGAACTGGGAGTGCTTCTTCACGATCTCCTTTATCCTCCTCTCCTCCAGGTACTCGGTCTGGTCTTCTTTCAGGTGCAGGATAACCTTCGTTCCCCGACCCATAGGTTCGCCTGCGGAGAGAGAAAGGACTCGATTTCAATCTGAATGGGCAAATTAAGCAATTGGGAAAACAGAAAACGCTTGATTGTTCTCCATGGCACACCCAACCGTTTTGAGCAACTTAACCATGTAGAATTTACTGGTACTACGGAAGGAGAACCCTGGACAGTTAACTGCCTGCCCAGGATCAAGAACTCAAGGGCCCCACTCCTCTTATCACGTGCTTCCCAGGCCTCCACAGCATCTTCTGGGCCCCCAGCCTACAGCACCAGGCCCTCCCCCAAGGACGCAAGGGCCAGAAAAGCGGTCCACTGGGGGCCCACCTGTGTCAGTGCGGACGGTGAATGAGCCCCCTGCGGAGGACTCCCAGGCGTACTGCTCGTCGTCGTTGTGCTTGGTGATCACCGTCACCTTCTCCGCCACCAAGTAGGCCGAATAGAACCCGACCCCGAACTGACCAATCATAGAGATATCTGCGCCCGCCTGCAGAGCTTCCATGAACGCTTTGGTCCCCGACTTGGCAATGGTGCCCAAGTTGTTGATCAGGTCCGCCTTGGTCATGCCGATCCCGGTATCCACGATGGTGAGGGTCCGGTCCTGCTTGTTCGGAATGAGGTTAATGTGCAGCTCCTTCCCCGAGTCGAGCTTGCTGGGGTCGGTCAGGCTCTCGTATCGGATTTTGTCCAGAGCCTGTCGACAGAGCAGGATCCGGTGAGCGCCGAGCGCCCGGGCCAGGGGGTGCCCTCCCGCCCAGCCGGCCCGCCACGCCGCGCACTCACGTCGGACGAGTTGGAGATCAGCTCCCGGAGGAAGATCTCCTTGTTCGAGTAGAAGGTGTTGATGATCAGCGACATCAACTGCGCGATCTCCGCCTGGAAGGCGAACGTCTCCACCTCCTCCTCCTCCATCGGCTGGTCTTGGGTCTGGGTTTCCTCAGGCATCTGCAGGGCCGCGGGGCCGGTTACGGGCCGCCCCCGCGCCCCCCGCCCGCTCCTCCGGGAGGCCCGCGCTCGCCGCCGGAGCCGGGGCCGCCGACAAAGGATGACCTCATTTCCAGCTGCGACAACGAGGGCCGTGCGCACGCCGCCGCCACCGGGCGCCACACGCTCTCGGGGACCCCGCCCGGAGCCGGAGGCCCCTCCCCCCCTCCCCTCCGCCCGAGACCCCGGAGCCGTAGCCCGGCGGCCGGGAATCCCCGCCGACCCGGGCGCACCCCCTCTTTCTCGCGAGTGGGGGTCGGGGGCGCAGCAGGCCCTAGGCCTCCGCAGGCGAGAGCACAGCCGCGCCGCCCCGCGGGCCCACGGCCTCCGGGGGACCCGCCCCGAGCCCGCCGCCCTGGACCCCCGCCACCCCCCCCGCCCCAAAGACCCTCCAACCGCCCCCTCACCTTGGCTAAAGGGCCGCACGGGCTCCGAGAGGACGCAGCACCGAGACGCAAGAGCAACTGGCGCGCCGCCCCCGCGCTTCCCTTATATAGACGCGGGCCCGCCCGGCGCGCGGCGCCTTTTCCAGAAGCCTCCCGAACCTTCCGGAAGAACCCTCCCCAACCGCCGCCGCGGCCACGCGCTTGCGCCTGCGCCGTGACCGCGGCCCCGCCCCTCTCCCGGGCGCGCGCGGGCCCGCCCCGAGCGCCCCACCCCCAACGGCCGCCGCGCGCGTCTCCGCGCCGGTCTCAGTGCGCCGGCGCGGCCGGAACTCTCGCGAAAGTCTCGCGCATCCCGGAGCCAACACCCCCAGCGCGGCTCGCGCCGGCGCCCCAACCCCCACCCGGTGCCTGCACAGCCCGCAGGGTCCCCTCCAGCCCCGGCGCGAGCGCGTGCGCTCCTGCTCCGGCAAGTCCGCCAGAGTAACTTAGTAGTTCCTACGGCTTCCCGGGCTGTATGGGCTTCAGACCGCGGCCCTGGGGCTGCCGCCGCAGCGTTGGGGTCTGCACCCGTTACGGGCCCGGGCCGGGTGTGGGCCGGGTTCAGGGGTTCCAGGAAGGGAGAGGGCGCATCTGTACATCCGAGCCAGTGATCAGACGCTCTGGGCTGCGAATGGGGGTTCAGGGCCTTGGATTTCGGGGCAACAGGTGCCGTGAGGGGTGACCAGCGCATGCGCAGGCAGACCCGAGCCCTGGTTTGTCTTGACCAGAGAGAGCCCCTAGCCACGTGGGGGTTTTGGTAATGGGGTCTTGGAATATGGGTGAGGTTTGGTGGGGTGAGGTCTCGGTCCCACGCCCAAGAAAGAATCCTCGGACATCTTTGGTGCAAAATGGTGGTTTATTAAAGCCCGGGAACCGGGCCTGTGTGGGCAGAAAAAAGCTTTGGTGTTGGGGGAGGTAAGGAACAGGGAGGTTTTCAGAGCACTTTCGTATGCCAAAAAGGACCTACAAAATAGGAGAGGCTTTGCTACTGTCAAGTTCAGGTTGTTTTTCCTTCTAGCAAGGCATTAACCTGAAGATAATTGGGAGCTTCCTGGAGGGACATTACACTCTGCCCGCTTCAAGGGTCTGTCAATGGGCTGCCGTTGTACCCACACATCTTTCTGGAAGCTAGATTATTAACAGAAATGCTTTGTTCTGGGGCGCCTGGGTGGCTCAGTGGGTTAAGTCTCTGCCTGCAGCTCAGGTCATGATCTTGGGGTCCTGGGTTCGAGCCCCGCATCGGGCTCTCTGCTTGGCGGGGAGTCGGCTTCCCCTACTCTGTGCCTGCCTCTCTGCCTACCTGTGATGTCTCTCTCTCTCTCTGTGTCAAATAAAATCTCTAAAAAAAAAAAAAAAAAGAAAAAGAAATGCTTTGTTCTTAGAGATTACTGAGACGTGTAAGCTGAGGGAGACTCAGGTCTTGCAGGATTGTGATCTCTGGAAGTTAACTCTTCTTTCTGTCTTTAGCTTTAGGGCGGCCAGGCGTGCCTGAGGAATGTGACAGATATCCCATGGGTGAGGGGAGCTGTGGGGTATCTGCTTTGTCCTCAGCTTGCCTTCTTTCCCCTCATCATTGGGATAAGGGAGCCTCAGGGGCCTGGTCGCACTCCAGGGGTTCAGTTCTGAGGGTGGGACTTGGAGTGCCAGGACGGGACTGAGGGTCATCCCTGCCTCTCCCCGTTGCCAGCCAATCTCCAAATGTTCATGCCCTGCTCAGGGGCTGGTTCTTTCCTTAGGCTGTGCTGTGCACAAGGGGAGGTGTTGAAATGGACCCTTACAGAGGCCTGAATTCTCCAAACCCCTGCTTCATCCTTTGGGGGATTTCTACCTGCTGTGCATGTGCGTATGGTTTAGGGGAATTGATGCTTCATTATATATAACACCCAGTGCTCATCACAAGTGCCCTCCTTAATGCCCATCACCTCTACCTGCCCTTGGTTTGCCTTTAACCGTGTCCTTCACACTAGCCTGCAATTCCAGGAGTAACTAACGTGTGCTCGCCCAGGACACCTACCATGATTTTGTGAAGCTCATCTTCTTTATTGCCTAGTTTACGTCATTTGAGGTCTCCATTGGAAGTATCTAGTTCACCCTTTGGGGGGTTAACTGGCTCCAAAAACCAATTTCTAGGTGGGAACCCCAAAAGCATTTTGAACAATGGCAGATGAGAGTCCTGAGAAGCTTAGAGGGGAGGGGCCCTTAGACACCGCCCAGGTCAGCCACCAGGTCTGAGGACCCCCCCAGCTGGATCCCCTCAGGTCACTGTGAACCTAGCCCTGTCCCAAGCTCCTTTGTCACTAGCTCCCCCCACTATTGGTCCTCCTCCAACTCCTCCCAACACACCAGCTGCCCCCCCACCCGCCCCACCCAGGAGAACAATCTGGAAGCACCTTACGTGTAAACAAACATGTCTGAACCCTTCCTCCACCCTTGTCTCTGGGGAAGCCCCGCTTTTCCAGGAACAAGGTTTTCACACTGGGGCTTAGGTCCCATTTAGGCCTGTGTGAAATTAACACGGGGCTTCTTAACTGGCTTTAAAATAGGAAAAACAGAGTGGAAACTTCCAGCCACGTGGTCAGGGGAAGTGGGCGTTGTGCATTTACCGGGGCACCTCCTAAACTGTAATTCTGCCCCCAGCTGTACCTGAAAATTCTCCCCGGGTTTTCCCTGCAGCCTGGGCTGGGGGAGGGTTAGGGGGGAAGGGGGCGAAGTGGGGAGGAGGGGAGTGGAGGGAAGAAGGAGGAGGAGGAGCGGCTTCCCATCCCACAATGCGCTGTGAGATCTGGTCCATGTGCTCTCCTGACCCAGAGGCCTGACCACTTCTTCCTTTCTACCCAACTCCTGTCAGGGCCCTGGAAGTTTAGGATCTCTTGCAGGTGGGCCATTCAAAGCCCCAGCTGTGATCTGCTCTGCAGAACTTCCCCCCCCCCCCCCCCGCCCCTCCTGGAATCACAGCTTCCCAGCTGGTCTGGACATTAACAACGCTCCCTCCCTTCACAGTCTCCTGGCCTTCCAGGTCTCTCCTACCTGCCTTAGTTACTAAATACCAGAACTTTCTCGTCCTGCTCCCCTCTGACCTCTGGATAACGTTCCCCACCAACCACCGCTGCCTGTGTTCCGTCACCAGCGTGCTGGGTTTCTCCCACTTGCTGGCGGCTCCTCTGTTTCAGCGGACTTGCCCCCTCTCAGGCCTTCCTGTGGAGCTCCTGAAAAGATACCTCCGTGTATCTGTGTGTATCTTGTGCTTTGTGCACAGAAAAGCCAGGGCCAGGACTCTCCTAACGCCACACCTGGACACTGAGCTCACTGCCCCACCTACCTGGTCTTCTCCCAGGACTTACTACCCAGCAGACTAGAGCACCACCTTCTAGAACCCCCAAGCATCCCCACAGGGGATCTGGCATGACCTTACCATTTCTGCCTCCTAAATGCCTCTTGAACCCATCTGCTTCTCGCCACCTTCATGCTCCACTTCCTGCCCAAGTCCCTCATCCCTGTCACCAGCCCCAGTGGCTCACCTAGACCTCTGTAGCCCCAACTGCACCTGTCTTCACCCTGTGGCCAGGGTGGGCTCTGTTAACACGGATCTGACCCTGGCAGTGCCCTCTTCACACATGCCCCAAACACTCTGGACACCCCAGCATTCCTAGAACAAAGACGACTGCCTTAACTAGGCTCATGGGCCCTGCAGGACACCCCACCCTCCTACTTGTCTCTGCTCCCACTATGCTGTTACCTTTGTAAACCTCACTCTGTGAATGGCCCCCACACCGTTTGGCCCAGACACCAATCCCTGTCTTTTTCTTGTAATTAATGTCCCTGTGTGGACCTTCAGCTCCCACATTTCCCTAGGGTCCCTTCCCACCTCAACCTGCCTTCCTCCCAGGCCCCATCCCCTTGTATAAATCAGTTCTCAGAATGTGGGACCCCCCAACACGGCATGTGCTCACCCACTCCAGCAAGCCCCCAACCCTGGCTCTTCTGAGCCCCCCCACCTCCTTTCTCACCCAACCTCCTCCTGCTCCTTCCACTGTGTTTCTGTTACATACCCGAGTCCTGCAGATTAGCTCCCTAATATTTGTTGGGCTGGTCCCAAAGTGATCCCCTTCGGTGTCCCTCCATCAAGCTGGAACACAAGGCCAGACTCTGTATCCAGGTGCCCAGGTTCAAATCTCAGATCTGCTCCTGCCTACCCATGTGGCCTGGGCAAGTCACTTACTCTGTGCCCGTGATTGTCACAGGCGCATGGAAAGTCTGTTTCTCTTGCAGACTTATGAGGCTGAAATGAGCAAAATCTGCTTCTGGAGATGGTCAGGACAGGCCTGGTATGCAATGACTGCACATGCGTATGAAGTAAACAAAGAAGTCTTGATTTCTTCTTTGACCTGCGGATGATTTATAAATGGGTTTACCTTCCAAATATCTGGAGGTTTCCCAGAAATCTTTTCGTGACTGATTTCGTTATTTTTTTGTGAGAGAGAGAGCGCAAGCAGTGGGGGCAGCAGAGGGAGAGGGAGAAGCAGGCTCCCTGCTGACAACAAGGGGCTCGACCTCAGGCCCCTGGGATCGTGACCTGAGCCGAAGTCAGATGCTTTACTGACTGAGCCCCCCAGGAGCCCCTTGCTACTGATTTCTACTATTTCATTCCATTGTGGTCCAAGAACATATTCTGCATGATCTGAATCCTTGCATATTTAATCAAGACTCCTTATGGCCCAGATTACGGTGTATACGGACAAGTACTGTGTATACAGAATCATGATGAAGGAGAGGTACCAGTCTTTGATATAATTTTAGAAAACGCAAGCTAACCTCGAGTGAGGGAAAGTGGATCTGTGAAGGCCTGGGGGGCCGGGCCGGTAGGCGCCGGGGAGGGGGACAGAGGGGCGACGAGGAAGCTGTGGGCGAGGCACCTGCTCCCTGCCGTGTTTGTCGTCATGGCTTCGCAGGTGTACGTGTGTGTCAAAACATGTCACCTTGTACTTTAAACACGTGCGGTTTGTTGCATGTCAATTACACCTCATAAAGCTGTTTTTTAAGAAGATGTTTAGCAAAGAGCTAGGAGAAATGGTCAGAATCAAGGTGTAATGATATAGGGAAATTCAGTAGTT